GGGGGGGGGGGGGGGCTTTTTGAAGCCCTGCCGCGGCAGCGAGCAGGCCCGCGCGGTACCAGCGGAAAGGCGAAAGACCCGGAGGAAACAGGGCCGAGGCCTTTCAGGGCGGTGTGCACACGCACCGCCGGCCGCGTGTGCTGCAGAGCGGGTCTTTTCTTTCGCACGCGCGCGCTCGCCGCACCCCCCCCCCCCCCCTCCCGGCCATTGCCCTCCTTTCTGGCGCACTGACACCCGCATCGCCCTCCTCCTGCCAGTGTCGGCCAATCTCCTCACCGTCCACCGGGTGGGGGCCTTCATGGTTGACTGCGGCGAGGGCACCATCGCCCAGCTGTACCGGACCCTGGTGGCCGGGTCGCAAGCCGAGCTGGCGGCTGGCTTGGGCGGCGAGCCGCCGGCCGCCCCGCCGAGCCCCGGCCCGGGGCACCTTGCCCCGGCCCTGGACGCCGGGTTCCGGCGGCTGGCCCACACGCTGCTCGTGGACTTGCGGGGGGTTTTCATCACGCACATGCATGCCGACCATCTGCTCGGGGTGCTGCGGCTGCTGGAGGTCCGCGCGCAGCTGCTGGCCCTGCTGGCCGGGCTGGGGATCGGGCCGCGGGACACGGCCCCGGCGGAGGCCGGCTTGCGTGCGCGTGTCCTGCACCTGCTCGGGGTGGACGTCCATCGGACCCCGGGCCGGGTGCTGTGGCGGCCTCTGCCGGTCGTGGGCCCGGCGCATTTGAGCCGCTTCCTGGCCCACTTCCAGGCTCTCTTTGGCGCGGCGGCCCTGTCGCCCTATGCCTACAGCACGAATGCCCTGCTGGTGGAGGAGGCCCTGGTGTTTGGCCAGCCCCTGGGCCCGGCGGCCGGGACCAGCCGGGTGTCCGTGCGCAGTGTCCCGGTCTTCCACTGTCCCCATGCCTTTGGGTTTGTGTTCACGCATGAGCCCGGGCCCGAGGCCGGGGCGCCATCGGGCCAGGCGCCCGGCGGCCAGTCTGCCTGCGCCTGCGCCGCCAACTGCTGGCGGGTGATCTTCTCCGGCGACACCCGGCCCACGGCGGCCCTGGCGCGGGCGGCCCTCGAGCATCCGGCATGCCCGGGCGGCTCCGGCATGCCCGGGCCCCTGGCGGCCCCCCCCTGTGTCCTGGTGCATGAGGCCACCTTCGATGATACCACCGACAACCTGGTGCACGCGCGGCAGAAGCGCCACTCGACGGCCCTCGAGGCGCTGGCCGTGGCCACGGCCGGGCAGATGACCGCCTGCGTGCTGACGCACTTCAGCCAGAAGTACAACCGCGACCCGGGGCTGCTGGGGGCGGCGGTGGTCGCCGCTCAAACCGGCCGGTCCCTGCAGTCCGTGGTCCGGGCCTCCAGCCGGCCAATGGCGGAATTCTCCCTGCCCCTCGGGACCACCATCGACCTGGTGGGCCAGCTGCCGGGGGAGTTCGCCGGCCGGGTGCCGGTTGTGGCTGACACCGGTCCCGGCCCGGGCGGGCCCCAATCGCCGGGGGGCGCGACGCCCATGGCCCCGGCCTCGGCCGAGGCCGAGGCACCGCCCGCCCTCGGGCCGGATGCCCCGCCGCCCGGGCCGCCCCGCACGGCCGATGGGCGCGCCTTCGGTGTGGCATTGGCCTTCGACATGATGGTCCTGCGCCAGCAGGATTTGATCCCCCCGCGGCCGGTGGCCACCGACTGCCCGATGGCCGGCTCGCCGCTGGTCGCCGCCGATGGCCTGGAGCCCATTCGAAGCACCCCGGTCTCGCGCGTGGTCGAGTGCATCGACGCGGTTTTCGGCGTCTAGCGCATGCCCATACACATACCCAGGCAAATATATAGAAGGGCACCCGACGTCGGGTGCTGTGCGATTGACTTACGTGTGTGTGCGTGTGTGTGCGTGTGTGTGCGTGTGTGTGCGTGTGTGTGCATGTGTGTGCATGTGTGTGCATGTGTGTGCATGTGTGCTTATATGTGCTTATATGTGCATGTGTGCTTATATGTGCTTATATGTGCTTATATGTGCATGTGTGCTCGTATGTGCTTATATGTGCATGTGTGCTTGTATGTGCTTATATGTGCTTATATGTGCCTGTGTATCACCGTGCACACTTGCAAGTGTGCATGCCTGCGTGCCCCAGCAACGCATGGGGTCGATGCGCGCGCGTCGGCACAAGGTGCAGACCCCGCGCCAATGGATCAAGGAGGTGCCGGTGCATGCGCAGGCATGTGCGAGGGTGTATTGTTTGGCTGCTCCTTCTGCTCCCGCACGAAATAATGCACGAAGAGGGGGGAAAGAGGAAGGACAAAGGGGAAGACAAAAGGTCGATCACTTGAAGGAGCCGGTGAAGGGGTTGGGCTTGGCCGAGGCGGTGACGCCGGAGCCGGCCGCCGGGGTCGCGGCCGAGGAGCCGGCGCCGGAGCCGAAAGGCGTCGCACCGAAAGGCATGGACGGGCTGGCGGAGGAAGTGCCAAAGACCGGCTTCTTGCTGGCCTGCGACCCGGGCTGGGAGAAGGTCGACCCAAAGGCAAAGGACCGACTGGCGCCGGAGACCGGCGCCGAGCCGAAGGGCGACTGACTGACCGCGCCGAAGGGCGACGCCAGGCTGCCGCTCGAATCGCTGCCACCAGGAGACCCGGGATCCTCGGAGTCATCCTCGCCGCTGTCAGACTGGCCCGAGACACTGTCATCGGTGTTCGAGGGGCTGGTCTCGCTGGCGGTCCCAGCGCTGGCCGGTGACGCGCTGGCCGACTGCGTCGACGACGACACGGCCCCGAATGTGAAGGAGGAGGAGCCGGTGGCTGGCGACGAGCCAAAAACGAAGCCCCCGGTCGGGGAGGTCGGCTTGCTGGTGCTCTTGTCAGCATCCCCGGTGGCCGGCTCCGTGGGCTTGCCAAAGGCAAAGCCCCCGGCCGGGGCGCTGCCAAAGGAGAACCCCGACGAAGAGGGCTTGCCGAAGGC